GATGGTGATAATGGTCAACATTTACTAAGTACTTTGTGCTATTAGTTTTTCACAGATTAACTCATTTACTTTTCACAATGACCTATGAGGTAGTTATCATTACACCCATTTTACAGATGAAGAAATCAAGGCACAGAGTGGTTAAATAATTTGCTTGAGGTCACACAGCTAGTAAGTGGCAGTTGCAGAAATCAAATCCAGGTAATTTGGTTCTAGAACTCCTGCTCTTACTCACTATGCTTAAATTACTCTTTGGAAGCTGAGGTGGCTAATATCTAATAGAGTAAAATGAGTCTGCCTTTTTAAATAATTTGAATAAACACCTTTTAATCTCAAAATACTAAGAAATCTAATGTTGCCATAAAATTCCAACAAATAAATAGTTCATAAGCTTCAATAATTCTCACTCTCCATTGAGGGGAAAATGTGCCGGTGGTTTAACGTTATGGTACAATTTACTATATAAGATGTGTACAAAATAAAATTATGCATGTTAACAGATCTTTGAGCCACATGGTTTTTTGTTGTTTGTTTTTGGGGGGGAGGGCGTGAGGGAGGTCACACTTAAGAACCTACTATGTACCAGGCACAGTACTATGCATAGTTCACATGTTTGCATTAAATGAATTTAAGAAATTCTGTTTGATTAGAATTTGTAAAATCATCTCTACCCATTTGGCCTTATTGACTAAATTAAAAGAAGTGTAAGAATTTTTCCTATCCCCAGCTTAAATACCCTGGAGTCTGAACACTAGGTAAGTTACTACTGCTGCATTAACAGGGTTCAAGTTGAGCCTAAACAGTCCAGCAAAGAAAACTGTCTGGCACTTACTTTGAGTTCAGAAGTAACTCAAAACAAGTAACTCTACTTGCTCTAGTAACTCACTCTCACAAGAAAGTTTAAGTAATATGCATTACTGTCAAATCCTATGGCACATACATCTTTAAATTTGGTTTATGCTCATCAGCTGTGAATCAGTACAAGTAAAAACATAACCTTGTAGCCATCATTTTTTATTAAAAATGTAAGAAATATCACTGCAGACCCATTTCGGTGTCACAATCTTCCATTTCGTGGTCATGTTTAGAGCTACCATTTAGGAAACCATTGGATGAAGTTTCTCCAACTCCATTGGAGTAGTGATCTGTTTCCATGTCTACATCATTACTGAAAACGAAAAAACAAACCTAATTTTAGAAATATCACACTTGCAGCTTAGTTTAAAATAAATTACTACTCAACTATGTAGCCTACTTATAATCTAACTTCATAAAGTAATAGAAATCTGCAAAAAAGGTATTTTGTTAAATTTCAAATGTATTCAAAGCCAAACAGCTGACTTTTAACAAATGTGTACCCCTGGAGATAAGGGAGAAAAAATGTACATGTGCTAAAATGTAGTGGTTTTATGACTTTACATCAACATGGAGAAATCACACGTCAGCATGATAGTCCTACTATTTCTCAAAACCAGATCTGCACTTCTTTGTTAACTGACTGCTGTCCCCAGCATCTCCCCAGCATTCATTTCTCCCCAGCATGTAAAGACCTCACTCTCAAAACAAACTAATAAATCTCATACCTGGAACCCACGTCACTTCTTTCCTGCCCTCCTAATTCAACTTGCTTCTAGACTGTATTTTAATAGTTGACGGTTGGCATTTGTCCTTACTACCTAAAAATATACACTCTCTCAAAGGCGATGATAGCTTAAAAAGCAACTCAGTCTCATCCTCTCATACCTTTTCAGCACCCAACACACTCTCTCTCACAGGCTATCTTACTGGCTCAAGCATTGACGAATCTCAATTTTCAAACCATTGTCTTGGATATTTTCCAGTTTTCACTCATTCCACACTGAAGAAAAACATACGTGCCAATAACTATATCTGGACATATTTAAGTTGTCAATGTATGCCCTTCAGACCCATCCACACTCTTATAAGCAACAATAAATATCTAATCTTTCAGATTTCTCCTATGAAGATCTAGGTAATAACTATATATTAATAATTCAGAAACACTTGAAAATTTAGGAAGTGTTCAAATAAAAATGACCTTTCTCATCACAAAAGCAATATATATTCATTTGTAAAAAAAAAAATTAATACAGATGAGCAAAAAATACTATGCATAATGCCATCAGAGGCAACCACTGGTTAACATTCCTGTTAGTAAAACCTTTAAGGTAAAAAGACACAGATCTGGAGAGAAGGGGATGTGACCCTAGACTCCAGACCAGATTTATTCAGCCAGAAAAGCTTGATTATTATCTTGACAAACCTTGAAAATGGTAAGAAAAAACAAAATTTAAAAATAATGTTGAATTTAATGAAAATCCTTACCATTATAACTTTCGGTGGTCTTAAAAAAATACTAAAACTTTTTTTTTCTTTTTTGACAATTCTGTTCAGTATTTGAGAGGCATTCATTCATTTAACACACATTTAAAAGCCTCTGAGGTATGATCCATGTTGGATGCTAAGGATAGTATGAAACAGCCTGTGGCCCCTAGTAGCAAACAGACTGTAAAAAGCTAATTAAGTTACTATATTTCAGAGCAATCATGATCAATACTATGATGAAAGTTAATCCCAAGGAGCGACAGCAACATTTAGTGGGGATGTAAATCCAGGAAAACATCCTGGAAGATCATCTGAACTTGGAGTTTTGCAACTTGAACAGAAGTTAAGATGAAGCCAAGGAGGGTAGGGAGAAGAGCATTGCAGATGGTAGAAGGTATAATGGGAAAAGCACAAGTTTGCAAGTCAAATCCTGGGAAGGCGTCTCGGCTCTGCAACTTACTAGCTACTAATTATTGACTTTAAAAAAAGTCATTTACTTTTCTGATACTCAGTTCTACATCTGTAAAATGGTTTTTAAATAGTTAATACTACTTTGCCTACTTCACAATATTATAAGGAGTGCCATTGCTAACTACAAAATAACTGTTACTGTGTAACAGTTTAAAGTGGTTCAAAAGTTTCTTTCCTTTCTATGCTATGCACACAGGAAGATGCTGTGTCATCAGTCCCTTCCGTTAGGCTTGCTTCCCTGAACTCAGGTAATAATAGGTCTCTTTAGCAACTTCCTGCAGTGCGGATAGTATTTAAGAGAAAAACTCACAAATTGACTGTAATCTTACCCTCAAACAATGGCAGAACCCCCATCAACAATAAAGTACCAATGTACTTTATTATAAAGTACAATGAACTAGTAAAGCCTTAATTTTTAAAATTTTAACTACAATATTTATATTTTATATTTTCCAGTATGTCATCTCTGCTGTGAAAGACATCCCTGACCCCCTCAGCAAAAGAGAGTCACTTTTTCTACTGTTCTCATATCATTTGGGGGACCCGCCATTATAACTTGTCTCAATCAGACAACATCATTACTTTAGTAAATTTCTGTCGTATGTGACAGATGACCCAGAAATTTTCATTCATCTCCAAATTTTCAAATACAGATTTTTTTCCATAGACTCCTTTCTGTAGAATCATATTTCCATTAAAATTCCATGCTAAAAGTTAGGTTCCTTCTCCTTTAGTAAGAAAATGTTGCACTGATGACCATTTCCGGAAAATGCAGCATGACCAATTGGTTCACGTTATAGGACCAAACCAACATCAAATTGATTGAGACGCTGGATGATGTGGGCAGGCTGAATTCACAAGAACTTGCTCTTGCATGGTAGTATTCAATTCAAATGATTTCACTTCAAGAACTTTTAGGTTTCATAAATATTAAACCTGAGTATGTCAAGGACCACACTATACTGATAGAGACGTATCTTCTCTCAAAGTTCTTTGAAGTTAGACACCATACCTAGCAGAATGTTTGGTACCCAATAGGTTCTTGATACTATCCTCATGCCAACGTTTACTAAATGATTTAACCATCTGCTGTACGCAAGCTATGTAAAGATAGGCTTTCCAAAAAGATTCTTTGTAAAGTTAATCATTTTAAACTCAGAAAACATTTTACATATTTATACCAAAAAAACCCATACACAGAGGAAAAAACAGCTGTAAATTTATCTTATATTAACATTAGGGGTTAAATATACTATTATGTCTTAACCTGAACACATAACAAATGGCATATATGTGATTATCTGTATAGATCTGTGGTTAGCAGGAAGATGATGCATAAAGACCTGAATCTGTTGTTATAACCTTACTTGAGGGAAGAGGTATTAATAGTAGTAGAGAATGAGGAAGAACTAAGGAAAGAGCTCGTGTGCATAATGCGAGACTGAAAAGCTTTAGAGAACTGACTCCCTATCCTTTCATTCTCTGTGGGCTTGGAAACTCCCAGACTCCCACTATGGGTCATATAAATCAAGTTCTTTCAAAATTAGTACAATGATGACACCTATAACTACCTTGCTAATATTAATACAAAAGCTGGTGAAATCACTTACCTGGTGAAGTTATTAACTTGCTGTGATCTTGACATATTTATACTGTTCAGTTCTGGTACATTCAAATTGGATGACTGGTGTTTACTATGACAATATGATTGATGTGCTTTATTTGATATTACACCATTACTACAACTTTCAAAACCTGAGGGGGGAAAAAAGGAAAAGATAACGCATGGAAATAGAAAAAAATACTAATTGTTAATTAAGTTGTAAATAATGTCTTCATATTTTGATTTTGTATTTAAGACTTCTAGAATGTAAAAGAGTCAATGGATTACTTAAATAAAAAGCAGATTAACTTCTCTGAAAGGATATTAAGAATACTTAATTGTGAGGCTGTAATTATGATCTCCTCTAACAGTTACTGAAGGCTTACTTATGGATCTCATTTAACCCTAAAATCCTGCTCCAATGGCAGTACTATCATCATCATTCCCATTTTACAAAGAATACAATGAGGCTCAGAATTTGCCCAGGCCTGAAGTGACTGCATGATATCCAAAAGGAATGGTAGCTAAGGATACAGACATGAGCATCATCCCTGCTGTACAGGGAGGTGATGTCATCAGACTGACAAGAAGTAATGCAGGAGTATATACTTACTGTGAGAAAAAGCAAACGTGATACTCTATGAAAGGAAAGGAAACATTACCTGACTTGTTTTAGAAAATTAAATCTACAGAGAAAAGGTAACATCTTGGGAAACAGAGAACACCAAAAGCCACGGAAAGCAACACTGATGAACCAAAAAGAGGGATGGGAAAAAATGAACTGGGCAGAGCCAACTCTTGAAGAGGGTTGGTTAGGAAAGAACCAAGAGAGACAGGCAGCCAGCTATTAGTAGGTTTGGTTATTGGTAGCATAAGATATCAGTCAGATCACCTTTAAATTTATACATTATTAAAACACATAATTACCTTTTCATTACTAAATGTCAATGATTTAATTCTAGTGACAACTCATTTTGAATGTTGACCTTCATTTATGGAGATCTACTAATGACCTATTTTCAGAAAGTTTTTTTTTTTTAAGAGACAGATCTTGCTCAGTTGCCCAGTCTGCAGTGCAGTGGCATGATCATACCTCACTACAGCATTGAACTCCTGGGCTCAAACAATTCTCCTGCCTCAGCCTCCGGAGCAGCTAGGACTAAAGGTGTGCACCACCCTGCCCAGCTAATTTTTCTAATTTTTGTAGAGACAGGGTTTTGCTCTTGCTTGGGTTGGTCTCGAACTCCTGACCTCGAGTGATCCTCCTGCCTCTGTCTCCCAGAGTGCTAGGATTACAGACATAGCCACTGCGCCCAGCCAGAAACAATTATTCTTGAAGTTACTTCCACGTACTAATAATGTTAATATATGAATCTGAACAATTTTTCATCTAGAACATCCTGAAATCAAGTATACACATTTATAAAACTGCTACAAAGAAAACGTCTAGATTAAAAAAATTTTGGTTCAAAATTATAAGGGTAAAAATTTTAAAAATAATGTTATAAGAGTGAATCTCACCAGAATAATGTGCAGTACTTCCTTTGCCTGGTGCTAAATTGTGGATATTCATTCCGTGGCTGGGGCTCATACTTGGACTACTAAAAGGTCGAGGACTAACAGGATAACTGTCTTGTGATTTTGGACTTCGGCCTCCCAAACATCGTACTTCACTATCTGTACCATTCACCATTTCTATAAACTGACGTACTCTAAGAGAGAAAAGAAAAATTTACTTAGGATAATCTTCAAATGGCCTTTCTGAAAATAATTTAAAACATTTATCAGTAGGTTTCGTCTTTAGATAGTAAGCTAAAAATATTAAATATGGTGTCATATATTGTATTGCTTAGAATTTTAAATTTTCCAAAAACATTAAGAATACAAGAGACTATAATAGCATTATCCCCTTTAATTTAATTTACTAAGAAAATGAAAATTTATCTGTAGCTGTAAAAAACATAATATGGACTTCATTTTTGTTTTAAAGATGGGGGTCTCACTATGTTGCCCAGGCTGGTCTTGAACTCCTACGCTCAAGCAATCCTCCCGCCTCAGCTTCCCGAGTAGTTGGAATTATGGATTTATACCACTGAACCCAGCATGGATTTCATTTTTTAGCTAAAAATAATTTAACCAAAATATCTGCACTTAGTAGCAAATCAGATAGTACCTAAGGACATAATTTTATGTACATATGATACATACAAAGCACAGCCTTTCTCCCCACCCTCTGTCACCTCTAGTCCTATTCCCAACCTCTTAACCAAAATGAGCCTCATTTAAACTTCAACTCGAAAACAATTCTGTTCAACCCACCACTGCTAAATTTGACTAGCTAAAAAAAAAAACCAAAAAACAATTCTGTCATTTGACTTACAAAGGATTTCTCCTGCTTAAAGAGTTGAAATTTTAAGCTCAATAACATCTAATTTTTAAAGTACCAAAGATTCATAAAACCAATAAAAATGCCAAATTAGGATGGCTATTACTAAAAAACAGAAAATAAGTGTTAGTGAGGATATGGAGAAAGTGGAGCCCTTGTACACTGCTGGTGGGAAAACAAAATGGTGCAGCCACTGAGGAAAAGAGTATGGTGGTTCTTCACAAAAATTAAACAGAATTATCATATGATCCAGAAATTCCACTTCTGGGTATATAACCAAAAAAATTGAAAGCAGGGACTCAAACAGATATTTGTACACCTATGTTCATAGCAGAATTATTTGTAATAACCAAGAGGTGGAAAGCAACCCAAGTGTCCATCAACGGATGAATGCATAAACAAAATGTGGCATATATCCACACAATGGAATATTACCCAGCCTTTAAAAGGAAGGAAATTCTGATACATGCTACAATGTAGACGAATCTTGAGAACATTACACTAAGTGAAATAAGCCAATCACAAAGGACAAATACTGTATGATTCTACTTATATGAGGTACCTAGAGTAGTCAAATTCACAGAGGCAGAAAGGAGAATGGTGGTTGCCAGGGGCTGCGGGGGAAGAAGGAATGAGTTGTTTAATATACACAGAGTTTCAGTTTGAGAAGATGAAAAAGTTCTGGAGATGGATGGTGGTGATGGTTACAAAATATGAACACAGTTAAATGTAGACGTGTACATTTTAAAAATGGTTAAAATGGTAAATTTTATGTATATTTTACCACAACTTTTTAAAATGCCAAGGAGACTTACTAGAAAGTATTTTTCAGAAGGAAAAATAGACACCCATCTTCTAAATAAGATTTTCACATTTTAAAACATAGAATGATAAAAGAGCATACACACAGCAAAAGATGCCATCTGCTTATAGTCCTTGAACATAAAAGTATTTTTAATAATATGTTACTTAAATGTGCTATATTACAAAATTTTATGTAAATATTTGAAACAAGGTAAAATAAAAATTAAACTATAAAAGCATGAAAATGATTTTAATTATATAACATAATAACAAATATGTATATTATAACAGTTTATTAAACAAACTCACTTTAATGTGAAAAGAAGATTAGGATTTCTTTCAAGTAAACTTGGGTATAACTGCTGTGTTGTTTCAATGGCTTCTCCCATTCTTCCTGCTAACACCAATTTCTGAATTCCTATTCAGTAAAAAAAAAAAGCAAAAGATTAACTTTTACAAAAGTAGAAACATAAACATAGTGGATCCTCAGAAGAAAAAGAGACTTAGCAAAAAGTCTTTAAATAAATTCTTGTGATTGATTTCTATTTCTTTTTCTAATATCCATTAGGCAATCCAGGAAAAAATCTCAAGTACCTTCACAGAAAAACAAGTACCTTCACAAACTATTAAAAAAAAAATCACAAACATACAAGTAATATAGTGAGAATACCTATTAAGCAACACTGAAGTTTCAAACACCAAGATTACAAAGACTTTCAAAGAAATACTATTAAAATGTCTTATCAAATATGATGAACCACCTGAATTTAATAGATATTCATTGAGCATTCACTGTGGGTCAGACATTTGCTAAATGAGATGATGGAGGAAGGGTGGTGGCTCATGCCTGCAATCCTAGCACTCTGGGAGGCTGATGCGGGAGGATCACTTGAGGTCAGGAGTTCAAAATGGTGAGGATACAAAAGGAGTAAGAGATCATCTCTGTTCAGCAGAGCTTAGTGATAGTGAGAAAGGCAAGAATATAATTAACTATAATACAATGTAATCAGTGCTATAATAGCAACTTGACCCACAAAAAACTTTTCACCCATCCATTTTGTTTTTATCCCTTCACGCTTGTCAAATCATACCCACCCTGATAGACTAATACCACCGATTTTGGGATGGCTAACTGTGGACCAATTATAAACAGGCTCTATAGCTCTGTCGTCACACAGGCCAGCACTAGGACCTAAACAATAAATACTATGATCAATGCTATCTTAAATTTAGATAGCAATTTAAATTCAAAGATATTTAAATTTCTATCCCATATTATCTCTACCATCTAATGAGAACTTTACTTTAAAAAAATAAAAAAAATCTTTTCATTAAATGTTTTATTTCCTGAAAGCTAAGAAAACATTTTTTATTTTAAGAAGATATGGTAAAGTCATTCCTTACAAAAATATTTCCACAATTCTTTCTACAATTAGAGTCTGACATAGTCCTATGTGAATTTTTAAAGCTCATCTTCAAAAATGTCAGTGAAAATAAATTTCAGAGGTATCCATCTTAATACTTAAATTTTTTAATTTAAAAAAACTTCTAAAATTAAAGTAATCAAACCTATAATCTGAAAACAAATGTTAGTTAGCCATGCACCAGTGTTCTTACTTTGTCTATTCTTAATGGAAGCTAATTCTTCTAGAACGGTCTGGTCTGTAGATCTGGCAAAGGCCTCTGCTGTGGCACAGTACCCATGGTGGACTAAATAAGATGAAACCATTCTTAAAATAAAAAGAAGAAACATATACATCTTTTAGTCAAGAGAATACATGCTTTACACTATAATTTATATAAACAAGGTCTACTCTGGTATTACAAAACAAACCTATTTTCTTAAAACAGTTAAGGCTTTAAGAATTTCAACTTTAAAGTAAGTTGAAAAAAATCATTTTGTTCAATTCATGTAATATTTCCAAAAAAGACAACTGCAAATGCTATGTTAAGACTACACTCCCTAAAGTAAATACTGCTTGAGAATCGAGGACCTTAAGTGACCCTGTCTTTGATTCTTAGATCTCCATTACCCTCAGGTCCCTTCCTATTTATTTCCCATCCTACTAAAAATAATTTCTATTTCATCTCTACCATATGTATTTTGTAAAATAACATTTGAAAATAACGGTTTAACTCTTGGTGTTCCAAAACTCAACCACTTTCTTTATCCATCAGTTAAATGAGATGGGATCACAAAATGTATACAGAAAAAATACTAAGGTAAACCCAGAGGCAGAATCCCTGAGAACAAAGTCTAGAGGGTACTACTAATAAAGGAGGAATCAGCCTTCTAATCTAAATCAATTACTATGGTTTTGCACAAGAGATTACTCAAATATAATTTACATGTAAGTGACATGCTTTCAAGAGAACAAGTTTATTTCTTAAAAAGCCACCAAGTGGTTAAAACATACTTACATCTACCCACAAAATGTAGTTAGAAAAACTGGTGATCAAAAAAAATAAAAATAAAAATAAAAATAAAGGCCGGGCGCGGTGGCTCACGCCTGTAATCCTAGCTCTCTGGGAGGCCGAGGCGGGCGGATTGTTTGAGCTCGGGAGTTCGAAACCAGCCTGAGCAAGAGTGAGACCCCATCTCTACTAAAAATAGAAAGAAATTAATTGGACAACTAAAAATATATAGAAAAAATTAGCCGGGCATGGTGGCGCATGCCTGTAGTCCCAGCTACTCGGGAGGCTGAGGCAGGAGGATCGCTTGAGCCCAGGAGTTTGAGGTTGCTGTGAGCTAGGCTGATGCCATGGCACTCTAGCCCGGGCAACACAGTAAGACTCTGTCTCAAAAAAAAAAAAAAAAAAAAAAAGTTTGTAACAAAATAAAATAAATAAAAATAAAAAACTGGTGATCCAACAATATTAACCCAAATATCTGATATCTCCAAACATTCAACTCTTAAATCTGCCTCCACCTGACACTACTAAGTGCCAATTAGAAAATGGTGGGAAGCAGTGGTTGACCAGGAAGACACTGAGGGGAAGGGAGGAGAAACCTCTATAAAACAGATTTTCATCTTATCTTATCTAGTTGTTCAAATTAATTTAAGGGGGAGAGGACTTTTAGCATGAACTTCCCAGGAGGTCATGGTGAGTCACTTCAATTTTCTAAAGAATGGGGTAGGAGAATCCTGGCTATAGGTTAAGATAAACGTTTCCTCTACTACTATCTTGTTACGATGCTCAGTGACAACCATTTTCAGGGCCTGAAAGGAAAGAGGCCCCAGGAGAGCAACCCATCCTAGCTCCAGCTCATGGTGACTATGGGATTCTGAGTCGGGGTTGACTATTCTTTCAACTGTGTGGAACAAAAAAACTAGTATCCAAGCTCTGTTAACCTAGACAATGGCTCTACGGAAGAAGCATGCTTTCAGAGTCATCATCATGTCTCCAAATCACAATCTCCTCCAAAAACTATTCAAAAAATTTTTATTAAAATTTTAAATTTAAGAATGTTCAAAGCAATTTAAGGACATTTATGATGAAATGAGATGGACTGATGGTATCTGAAAGTCTTTGCTATTTTCTTGGCTTTGATTATAACAGTAAAGATGACTTTTTAAATGTAATGGTGTTCATTTCATTTTTAAGTTTATACTATTTCAAGCTTTAAGAGCTACCACTTAGTATTAACAATATCCAGGTGTCAATCTCTAGCCTTTTAGCAAAGGAAGAGTCTAAAAAGTTGACTGTCATAGGAATTATATTTTCCTGCTAACTTCCATAATGAAATTCTACTTTAAAAAAAAAAAAAAAAAAAGCTCCCTAATAAAACAGGTTGAAAGTTTTTGGCAAAGAAGAAATTGAGATAATTTCATTTTATATTATTTTTTATTTGACACCCATTTTCTGCTCTGCTGCTGGCCATCCTCCACTATGGTTATGAATGAATCTAAGTATGCTACATTTAGGAATCCTAACTCCACACTTAACTGCTCCTTGGACTCCATTCCTTTATCTTTTCTTATGTCTAATAATAGCATAAACAAATCAAGCATTAACATTAATTAGTAAGTCTTTTAAAAATCCTTGAGATGGAGGCTTTTGGTAAAATTTTCCTATTTAAAATAGGGGCATTATAATCTCCCTGAATCTAAATGCTAAATAATAAGTATTTAGCAAAAAGGGGATTCTAATAACCGAAAATAGCTGATGTTATTCTTACAGAGTAACTCAAACACTGGAAAAACTTAGCCAAATCCTGAAATGCAAAATGTACACATCAAGTCTATATCCTAATACATTTTGATGCTTATTCTTACCAAGCAACAAATCTTTTTACTTATAAATATCTAAACTACTGCAGAATGACACAGCCAAGTTCATGTCCAAAACCCACATATTCTGATTATACAATCTAGATTATCTCTCTGAACTTACCCTTTGCATCAACATTATTAAAATTTGAATTGTATAACCTACAGAAATCATTAAATCCTATTACTAAGAATAACCCAGGTAACCTAATGTCACTTTATCTCCTCCACCACATTGAGACTGAAATACAATTCTGTATGTGTGTCATCAAATCAATTATTTTTAATTTTGTTTAAATTACGTTTTGAGATTAAAATATAATCAACAACATTAGGATATAAATTAAACAGCTTTGATGAATACAAAAAGAATAAATGTCTTATAAAAAATAGATTTCTGAATAATGTTAATTCAAATTTCTTTACTCTTACTTTTGTATCATGGTCTGCCACTCTCCTTCTCGATCTCCGATTGGAAATCGGTCTATCTGTGCCTGTATTTTGGTTCTCCATTCTCGCATATAGTCTTCTATATCAAATACGAAAGGATGTTGCCCAAAATTGGCATCGACCACTTCTCCTGGTGTCTGAAGCCCCACAGTAGGATACAAATTTGGCTGTAAGACAACATATTTCATTAAACACCTATCCATTTTAAGTTAAAGACTTATTTAGTCTTTTAATGGTACCATTAAAAGAATGGAACTACAAATTTACTTCATGACATTTTAAAATCCTGACCAAAATATTAGTAGAGGAAGATTAAAATAAATGACCTAAAATACATTATATGTTAGATGAAAAAATATCACTTCCTGTGATTTAATCATCAAGAGAAAACCAAAACAATCTAAGACACCTATTTTATTTATTCAGAGACCACACTGAATTATACCACATGGCATTATACTTGTAACATATGAAGATGTAATTCTTCCTCTTAAGACTGTCATGTGGTACTTAGAGAAATTCAAATATAAACGTGTACGCAACTCCGGTTTATCTCTGATTTTTATATGTGATACATTTCTACAAACTCCATGTTAAAGCTAATTACCATAAAAGTACAAGCCTAGCCAGGCATGTACTATTTTATCACTATTTTCATTTATCTGTACAGCTGGGATGCACCTTCCCTTTACAAAGGGAAGGTGATAAGAACTTAACTATAAGCAAAACACAGTGTCATTAAGAGTGAGGATTCTCCATATAAAAATAAAAACTCAAATGTACGTATTTCAGAGGAGGAAAAGGATGAAACTGAATATCTTAACTCAGAAACACATATAGATATATTCCAGGATTTCAAGGCCAAACAATGAAGTGTAAAAGGTGGTAGCTTCAAGTGCACAAAAAATACAAGAGTCCTTCTTTTGCGCTATCACTAATTATTAATAGTTGTTACATCTAAAGGGAGAATGAGTTTCTGAATGTCTACTAAATGCCAAGGTTTAATCACAATAATCCTGTGTGGTAACTATTATTATTTCTGTTACAAAGATACAGAAATTGAGGATTAGAGATTAAATAAACTGCTCATGGCTGTTCTGCTAACAAGTGGCAGAGGTGGAATTAGAATAAAGGTTCGTCTGACACCAAACCCAAGGATCAGTTTTCCTTCTTATAACTCCAAATCCTACCACATCTTCGTTCTCTGTATGTATGCCTTATTTCTTTGCTTTATTAGTATCACAAGTATTTTCAGTATAAAACAAGGTAAAAATTAAAAGGGGATAATTTGTGTGTGTATATAAGATGTTCAATAGATTTCAAAGCAAAAAGCTAAGTGGCCGTGTCTTAAATCAACTGTTCAATCAAGCAAGAAAAATCAGAAACAAAAATAGTGTCAAAATATCAAGAAATATAAAGTACTAGTGGATTATGAAAATAAATGGTTAAATCAAAATACGCCAATGTACTGATTCTTAATGACCAACAGAACTAACAAGTTTATAGAATTTTAAGCCCCGAAGAGGTGAGATACAAAGTACAGCATTCTTATTTCACCAATGAGAACTGAGACCTAAATACTTTAAAGGCACACAGCTTGTTAATGGCACCACATAAAGGAAAAAACTCATGTCTCTCTACTTCCAGTATTCTTTGCATTAAAACCCATTGCAGAATTATGAGATACTTTAAAACAAAAGTATATAAGGCCAAAGACAATAAAGAAATCAATAGAGTGAAAGGCAATTCTGTTCATTAAGGAGAGTTTAGAATTCTGATATTCAGGATTGTCCAAATAAAGATTCTTTTAAAATGATTTGCTAATCTAAATTTCCTTACATATTCAGAAAAATAATACTATCAACACTAAAAAAGACAGTCAACATTCATGAGTTTTCTAGTAAAACTGTTCCATAAAAGTTTAAAACTTCCTTATGAGAAAACATGCCAAAAATATCAAGACAAATGGACTTTCTACAAAAAACAATCTTCCATACATATTGACAAAGAATAGGTATTCCAAATATACAAAATATTCTCACTATACAGGAAGACAGTGATTACCAGTTCAATTTCTCAAAAATGGCAATAGATATGTAGGAAATTTGCAGAAGAAACACAAAATGACAACATATGAAGAGACATTTAACCATACCCTACTTTTTAGAATGTAAATTAAAAACAAGATCTTTTTTTGCACATCAGATTAAAATTTAAAAGACTGAGAATATCCAATGTTGATGAAAGTTGGGAAAATAAACATTCTCATCCACTGTACACAGAAATGTAAACTGATATAACCTTTTAAGAAAGAAATTTGGAAAAAAACCTATTCAAATTGACAATAATTTCACTTGTAAGAGTTTAATTCTATAGAAAAATAAACATGTGCAAAGATGTATGTCCTGCAGCATTATCTGTGATGGCAAAAAAAAATTTTTAATGTCTAGATAGGTGATATATCATATTCATCAAATCTCAGATTCCAACAATAAGCAATACTATTATTTTATGTCTGAGAAAAAACACTGCAAATTAAATAGGCCATAGATTCTAAAACACATTCCCATGTCAGAAATATTACAATATGAAAAAATGTTCATCTCAGGATTGATGAACTGTGATAGTACATTCATACAATAAGATATTGTAAAGAGGCAGAAAGAACAGAATAAAAAATGCATTAATGGACACAGAAAGATGCCCTATACACATTACTAAATGAAAGCAAACTATAGAATAATGTACATACTATGGCTCCATCTTTTTTTTTTTTTTTTTTTTTGAGACAGAGTCTCACTGTATTGCCCGGGCTAGAGTGAGTGCCATGGCGTCAGCCTACCTCACAGCAACCTCAAACTCCTGGGCTCAAGCGATCCTCCTGCCTCAGCCTCCCGAGTAGCTGGGACTACAGGCATGTGCCACCATGCCCGGCTAATTTTTTCTATATATTTTTAGTTGTCCAATTAATTTCTTTCTATTTTTAGTAGAGACGGGGTCTCGCTCTTGCTCAGGCTGGTTTCGAACTCCTGAGCTCAAACAATCCACCCGTCTCGGCCTCCCAGAGAGCTAGGATTACAGGCGTGAGCCACCGTGCCCGGCCTATGGCTCCATCTTTTACGTAAACATTTAAATAATGTTCATACTGGCTTACATGTGTTTAGAAAGAAGTCTAACAGGATACACACTCAAAACAGCCATCATAGCTAAAGAGGCTGGGATTATGAAGAACTTCTCTTTTGTACATTTCCGTAGTTATAAACATTTTTCTCATTTAAATATTTGATACTACATACATCTGTAATTAGAGGTAGATAAAACCTTGAAATAATATCAAGTCAGTTTGGGCTTATTGAAAAGTAATTGTAATTTTTATACCATTTATTCAACCTTAAAACTGGAGTATTTGGGGGAAGAGGATTAAGGACATAGTCCTCAACTTGACAGACTACAGATTTTTAAAAACCAACAGCCTTTTAAAGCACACAATTTAATGGTTTTTAGTATATTCACAGAAATGTGCAACTATCATCATCTAATCTTACAACATTCCCATCACCCCAAAGAGAAACATAGTACACTGGCAGCCATTCCCCATTCCCCCAATTCCCCTAACAAACCACTAATCTACTTTCTGTCTCTATGGATTTGCCTATTGTGGACATCTTTTATAAATGGAATATGTAATATGTGGTCTTTTGTGACTACCTTCTTTCATTTAACATGTTTTCAAGGTTCATCCATATGGCAGCATGTGTCTTGATTATACATTTATATGTGATGTTTTCCAGGAAAATATTTCTAAATTTAAAAAAATTACTTCTGCCTATGTAGAATTAGACTGAACTAAAATAGTTTCTTTATGACATGAACAGAAAAATAGATCCCATTTCTATTAACTTGTGAAAGATAAAGACAGATACTAAAAATATTTTCAATCTAGAATTGTTCAAAAGCTAAATGAATACCAAAACAGCATACCTTTGTTCTACAGGTATTTAAAAGATTTTCTTTAATGAAAATGAAAGCAAATAATGTAGCCATAAAAAGATTTCAAGTCAGCATCCAGAACTGGAGAGCAGCATCATTTTAGATGAGAACATCTACTATAACAAAAGGAACATATACCCAATCCCAAACAGCATTAGTTAGTTTATAGTTAAAGTCATTTCTTAAACTCGTGAGGTTAGCTGGGAAGAAAAACTATTTTGAAAAAAATCTAAGGTTTTCAGAGCTGTATAAACACCTTATGTTCCATAATAGGTGCAATATGGTCTAGGTAAAATGGTTTTTCTGCAAATATACTCTCTCCCAAGATTGAGTGGTACAACTAGCTAGTGACAGATCGTAGGTACAGAACATACAAATACTTCCCTGGTGCTTCAAGAGAAAGACTTTTCCTCCTTCTTTAAGCGGAGAAGTGATATGTAGGCATGTGGAAGTCCCACAAGATTTACAGTCATAAAAAGGAAAAAATCTTAGAAACACTATATTAAAAGGAAATGTGTAACCACCACCCTACATACCGTTACAACAGAGCTGCACATCATCATTGGTTAGCTATAGATGAAGGGAAAAACATAACTGGTGACTCAAAAGTGGGACAGAAAATAATTAGAAGGAAGCATGAAAATAGTCAACATGTCTACAACCAACCAAGCCTTTTCCAAATGATCACCACTGTATCTACCAGCAAGAAACAAAAGCTAACAACAATAAAAAAAACTCACTCTGACAAGTTGGTTTTACATGCTTAGTGCCACTAAAAGAGAGAAAAATAACAGCCACTAAGCCCTTTAACCAACCAAATAAAACTTAGGGTATTCCTAATAGAGCCTCTCAACAATTAGGGACCACATCAACCGACCTACCAGAATCTGCACCTACACGCTCTGCCGCCTACCTGTCACCACAATGCTCTTCTCAAAAGCCCATCCTTCCATTCATGTACCTGCCTACTTCTCTCTACACTATATAAACTTTTTTGCTTGCTAGTGAATCACTTCTATCAGCAAACAAGTATCCTGCCAAATCTTCAATTCAAAAAATTCTTTTCTACTTCCCTCACTTCCACCACCAACTACTATTCTATTTCTTTCCTCCCCATTGTGGTCAAAGTTCTCCAGAATTGTCGAGTCTATAATTTCCCTCTTCTTTTTCTCTTTTATGTCTAATCCAATCAGGATTTCTCCATCACTCTGCTGAAACTTTCTTGTCAAGTTCACCAATGACCTTCACTCTGCAAAATACAACAGTCAATTCTTAGTCCTTATCTTATATGATGGGTCATTGGCATTTAACACCACTGATCATTCCTTCCTCCTTGATGTATTTCTTCACTTGGCTTTCAGGACATCAATTCTTGGTCTTCCTCCTTACCTCACTGATTGCTCCTTCTCAATTTCCCTTTGCTGGTTGTCCTTTAGTCTGAAATTTAGCATGCCCTAGAATTCGACCCTTGGTCCACCTCTTTTTCCTGCCTACAAACATTCTCTTGTTGATCTTGACCAGTCTCATGACTTTAAATAAGACTCAAATGGCAATGACTCCCAAATTTTCACCTCCAGCCCAGATCTCTCTTGAATTCCAGGCTTGCATATGCAATTGCATACTTCACAACTTTTAACTTATCCAACATTGAATTCCTGATCTCCTCCCTCAAAACTTGTTCCACCTTTATACAGCTTTCTCTGTATCAGTAAGTGACATCTCCATCCTTTCAATTCCTTAGGCCAGAAATCTTTTAGTCAGATTCTCTTTCTCACATTTTCACACCCAATCCTTAGCAAATTCTCTTGTTTCTCAGGTGGATTTTTTAAAAGAATATGATTTTTGTTATTTGTCTTTTTTTTCCATTTAACTCTTTAATCCATTTAGAACTTACTTTGATATAAAATATAAAACAAAATCCTAACACTATGTATTTTTTCAAAAAAATAAACACTATTCCATTACTGCTTATTAAA